GGGAACATAATTCCTGCTCCTGACAGAAAACGCAAGAAGATACTGAACAGTGAGACCTGTTCTGTTTCTGTTCCCACTGAGGAACTCTCCCCTCTTGGGTGCTACGAGCAGTTTAAAACAAAGCAGAACCCCCCATCGCTGCCATGAGGATACCCCCAGTGCACTGGCTCTAAGACTCATACATCACACGTTGCTTCCCTATTGAGCAAGTACACAGATATAATTATTCTGTTACGCAGTGTTGAAAGAAGAGCCACGAGAAAAGGACTAGAAATGACCAAATTACGTGAATATGTAACTCTTGCTCACACTGGAGTAAATTATTCTTTTTATTTAAATCCATGGAAAAGCGTTTGCAGGATCTCCTTTCTGCCTACCTGGCATGAATCTTCAGATTGCTTGAAGTTGCAAACTGCAGGTTGCAGACATCACACTTGTAGGGTTTCTCTTCTCCGTGATGCATCCGACTGTGGAACACTAACTGGCACTTCTGAGCAAAGCCTTTGTCGCAGAGTTCACATTTGTATGGCTTCTCCCCTAGGGAAAAATAAAGCCCGTGTGCTCTCTGCGTTTACGTAAGGAAGCTTTCCAACCCATTACCTGACCAAAGCTCAGGTGTCTGTTCTCCAACTTCTAACGAATAACATCTTGGAACATCCTGTAATCAGTCCACTGAAGTGGAACGTGCCAGGAATACAGTGGATAACAGACTATTTTTTAACACATTCCCCTTGGGGATAAAAAGGTTATAATATTTTTAACAGTGCCATTTTCTCCACCTTATTTTAAAAATGCCACTACTACCTTTTCAGACTTCTTGCTATTTATTCTTTCTATTAATTATTCTGAATACCCAGGATGAACAACCAGTAAATCATCTGCTTTTTGTTGCCTGTCAAACAGCAACAGGTCTTCAACGTACTGTCTAGTGCTCACTAATCTCTCGTTAGTGTCTGCTGTAGAACGCTACAGGTACTTCTCTGACTATTCACGTTCTCTTGGTGGTCAATAGTCTCACGAAATGGATTGTGCAACTCTGCAGCCTCAGATGACAGTATAAAAGAGCCCATCTCTGCATCCCTATGGCAGTGCACAATCAAACCAAGAACTCAACAGTTTTTAAGTATTTTGTGTACGGAAAGACTTCAAAATAAAAAGTATTAGACATCTAACCTGCCACCTAGCAACCAGTGTCATGAAATTCCCTACCTACTTGTGCAGAAATTCCCACTACAGTACCCTCAAAAATAGAAAGTGCAGCTGACATTCCTACAAGCAAACTGTCCCTGAATCCTGCACATGAATCTTCGCTCAGTCAGAGGCAGACACCGTCTGAAATTCTCTCCCTTGGTTACAGAAAGAGCACAGTGTCCGCCTGCAGCTGTACCTCAACAGCTCCTACTTCACCTCTTTACATCTTCACGACTTCCTGGAAAGAGCTCTGCTGATGGCCTCTGCTCAGAGTTTTCCAAAGGGGAAAAAGAGCGAAAGTAAGAAGTTTTTGATCTGATTCACTGTTACTTCAGAATTCTGAATGCCGGCCACAAAAGGAAGAAAACTACGTAAACCAGGTCCTTCTGCTGCTCGCTGGGCTAAGTACAGCAGCAAGGAGAACAGCAGAACAGCTGTGCCAGATCAGCCTGAAGAAGAAGGTAACCCAGCATCAGGTCTTCCATCTCTAGGGAAGAACATATGAAAAGACAAGCAGAGCACTTCTCCCCTAGGCCTTCCCAGGATCCAATGATTTGTTATCATCTTTTAAGTCAGACGTGTTGTCCTAACGGTTACGTGTTCATAATTATTTCCCTCTGATGTTTTGTTCCATAGCTCTTGATAAAACATAAACTTCTGGAAGTGTTATTGAATGCAGAGACTGTAACAACATCACACGTTTCAGCTGCACACTTTACTAAATAAAATCCTAAATTCTGTAGTAATTCAGTCACCTCCTCTAACTTTTTTCAAGACCCTATGGGAGAAGTTACTACTTATCATGAGACTGCGTTTTCCCCTACTTTTGTTACCAAGATATTGGGATTTGAAGTACAGTGAGTTTTTCACGCTCTACTGGCAGTAGATGTTGGCACTCTGTCATCCTACAGAGTTAATGGGTAGCCAGCTATTCCGAGCCTTTCCAGAAATCAATATGCTCAGACTAATAACGCCCTCTCTAGCTTTTTAAAGTAGAAACTATGACTTTGTACTGAAAAACACTGGAACATTTTGTGCTACCAGGACATATCCCTGTATGCACACCAGCAGCAGGCAAAACTTCTAGAGGAAGAAGCCAGGACTGCAAAGATCTTTTTAGTCCTGTATTCCCAGGCTGTGATTCCAGGTCTCCACAGCCCATGGAGACAAGGCCAGCGGCTTACCTGTGTGAGTTCTTACATGGGTTTTCAACTGGTTGCACTGGGTGAACGCCTTCCCACAAAGCTGGCACACGTACGGTTTCACTCCTTTGTGTATTCTCATGTGTCGACGGAGGCTACTGGCTTCTGAAAAGACTTTTCCACAGGTGTTGCACACCGGCTTAGCTTTGGAGTACTTCTGCTCAAGTTCTTCTCCCAAACTCTCCAACGGGCAAGCGTTCTTTCCGCTGGCTATGTTAGACATACAGTGCTCCTTCAGCGCGCAGCTTTGCTGAGGCTTTCCCCGTTTCTGTTTGGCTGCAATACTCTGGACTAGGATGTCCTGCGCTGCCAGTGTTTCGCTTTCCACCGCGGATGCCAGCTGTAGCTCCGCGTTATCGCCGCCTTGGGCAGCCTGTTCTGTGATCTGGGTGGCCAGCTTGTTTGCATCTAAGAACATTTCAACGGATGCGTTCTCGGTCACATCGTTCTGATATTGTACAGATTTATTCTGTATGCTTTTGGGGGAGCTGAAGCTCTTCTTTCGCTTTTTGGGTTGAGGAGATTTCTTTTCTAAAGCTGCTTTCTTTGCCTGTGGTTGAAGCAACTCTGCAGAAGCAGCATCTGCTTTCTCCTGATTATTGTAATCTCGGAGAGTCAGAAGGCAAGTCTGCTGATTCATTTCAACGTTTCCAGTGATACTGGATGTCTCTGTAGAAGACGGATTAGCAATAAAAGCAAAGTCTTCCATCTTGATTTTGCATTTCGTGACCACTTCTTCTACTTTGAGATAGTCGGCAGCCTGGTGAATTTCTTTAACATTCCAGCTGCACGAGAAAAAGAAAGACTTTGGGTGACAATATCCTGGACAAGGAAAACGTTTCTTCTGGACCAACTGTATCACATACAGACACCAGCACTACAGAAAAGTTCCACTGCCGGAAAAGGTAACTTTGCGAACACATACAGCAAGATCTAATCTCTTGGTGCTGTAGTGCCCCAAGACCCCAGTAGGACAGTTCCTCCAGAACTGACAGCCCATGTCTTGTGGGGTCTGCAGATCCACAGAATTGTGAATTTTGGGTTCAGCTACATGCCTTTTGTAGGATTTTAAGTTAAAAGTGCAATTGCAAGGTGGTAAGGCTAGACTTGAGGTTGTTGGTCCAAAAAGCTCAGAAATCACAGCGTGAAGGGGCAAAACACTGGAGAATAAAATGCATTAACTACCATTCTGTAATCCTTCTGCCAAAAGTCTTAAGTAATTCACAAGTGGCGCATTCATTTCAGCACTTCTGTGAGGCAGGTATTAATCTTGTTTTATAAAACTATTTGCAAACAGTCTTAATTGTGTATCAGCTGTGCACAGATAACATTAACACCAAGGAAGTCCTCATTTAAACTAGTACACTCTCATTTTTTTCAGTTCCTGCAACAAGGACCCTGACAGTTCAGAAAAAAATTGATCTGGAAAAGGTGGCAGCGCAAACCATCAGTGCATTTATGGATTTACAGCACTTTAAAGAGAGATTAACGGTAAGCACCTTCATTCTAACAATCTATTTGCAGAGTAAATGTAATTAAATGACGACTAACTAGCCACAATTACTCTCTGTACATGAATACGAGTGCTTTAGTATTCTGAATTATAGCGAGTTCAAAGCACTCCCTCCCGGTGTCCCTCACGCACCCACCAGCACGGAAGACAACAGAAGCTGCAGCAGTCACCTAAGGGGACACTGTCAGTACAAGGTGACAGGTGCTGATGGGCAGACCTGCAGGTGTCACCTTCAGTCAAATAGTTCTCCCTGGGTGAAAATGGCATTTTCACCTTCCTCCTCCTTCAGAGATCTCAACTGCTCAGAAGAAATCCAAAAAACTCTCTTCCTGAGGTCCCAGACACACATCGAGAGCTCTGCAAGCTTTGCTCAAATGTAATTGCAAAGCAACAACCACGCAGCTGTGTCCGCTGCCCTACTGCTGTTAACACTTGTAGCTAATTAATAAACCAAACAAACCACCAACCCAACACCCTGTAGAAACAAAGGTTTTTTGAAACCTGCATTTGACACCAGACAGTGAGAAAGGAGTAAAAATCCTGGACTGCATACTTCTAAGTAGGCACACTTTGCTCTTGAAGGATAATCTCTTTCTGTCACAGAGGAAAGCACTGAAAAGGATCCTCATTGTACGTGAAACAACACAACGAGCACAAAATCAATGCAGTAAGTGGCGGAAACCCTCTTCCCGTGACTTCTTGTGGGTGCTGTAGTATAAGATTTTAAGTAACAGATCATGCAAATTCTCACAGTTTTTTTAAATCACACCTATCCTCACCCATTCCTGACTTTAGTGTCTATCACACACAGTTTCTGCGTGTTCTCTGCAAAAACGGACTCCTGTAATCCAACTCCAGAAAGAGCACACCTGTCCTTGCCTCTCCTGGCTATCATGCAAGATGTTTAATCCCTTCCAGTCCCAACAGAAAGACAGACTGAAACTACCAATCTGTGAAATATCAGACAACAGACCTTTGTTTTGGCACTCACACTGAACGTGGCATTTTAAAACATACCAACAGATGAGCTTCAACTTGTTAACAGGCATCATCTCCACTACTAGTTGGTCCTCCGGAACTTATTACAGACCACAAAAAAATCCAGTACTGCCTTAACACAAAGGTTATTTCCCTTTTCTCTTTCCCCCTTTAACAGCGTAGGTTACCTGTCAAGGTTTAAGTTTCCTGTATAAATAAATTCCAGGAGTTTTTGGAATCCGTCAGCTTTCACTTGAGTCTGATCCAAAACAACGTTATTGTCAGACGCATCTCTGTAAAATGCACCGAAGTACTCGCTGAAAGAGGCAAGCACGTTTCTGTGCGCTTTGAACTGGAATTCGCCAATAACAACAGTGCAGTCACACAGAAAGCCGGCTTCTCGCTGCTTGTTCAGTCTCTCTAAAAGGTGCTCACAGTGATGGGAATACTGCATTTTGACAACGAGCTGCAGCCTCTTTGTTCTGATCTGGGAAAGCAAACAAAAAAAAATAATACTGGGTTCATATGCGAGATTTAACTCTGTTTTGCCCTGAACAGCGTAAATTAACGATTACGAAAGAGTCCGCGTTCGAATCCGCTCACGATCGCTCAGGACAGTTTGTGCAGCAGCGCTTCTGGGCGAGGTACGGCGCGACGGGCGGATCCTTAACTTGGGGAGCTGCTAATTTTAGAGACAGGGCGAGCGGGAGAGGGCAGAGCCGCGCGTACTCTCCCGCTCGGGCCGGAGGATTAGCTCGCCTGAGCTT